CCATCATGACCCTCAGTGGTTGATTGCCTCTGTAGCAAAACCCAACACCAACCAAATCCCAAAAGCTGACTATTGCAAGACAAGGACACGGGGTAGCTCCAATTAGTCAGTTTTTCAGTGGCTACTGACCCGTAGTCGCTGGCAATGCTTGGGCAGTCCGAAATATTTTAAAAATCTCAGAAAATGCGTCCATTTCCGTTTTTGAACCACGTCAAAGCCATTTTTGGCAAAATAGAATCATAAATCAGTTTTTTTTATGCAAAAAGCTAAGCCATTCCACGAAGGAGCAGTCTGCCCCAAATATTTATTGGGATCTATTATAGCCTGCAATTAGACCAATAATTTACAGCCGGCTTAGTGAGACCTCCATTCTCGTCCAACCCTAGCCAGGCTAGTCTTGAAAAAACTTTTGAAGAAGGAATATACGCTTCCAGAACAACACCAAAGCCACTGAAAATCTTGAACGAGGGTCTTCCGGAGAGACACTCTCACGGTAGACATACCGAATGGTCCGAGGCTAGATTGATTCCCCAGTAACACAGATGAAGGGGAATCATCTGTGAGAGCCATGAAGGAACGAATGTGAAGAATGAACTTGTGCAGCATGACCATGTGGTCTCTTACATCAATCATGTACCCGCTTCAGCTGCTTCCATAACAAAGAAGCTGGCTGCATCGTTACAACAAAGGATGTTTTGCCCAATTATACAACATAACGAAACTCTTAATAGGACGTCGTCTAGACGCTCATAAGTTCGTCTGGAAACCAATCAAGAAGTCTGTGGGTAAACGACACGTACGATCGTAAAAGTACTAACTGGCTTCATTCGTAAAAGGCAATAAAATGGGTAAAAAAAACCTGAATGGCCAATCTTATTATAGACCATATATAGTTATTGGCACTAACTTTAAGCAACGAACTGGAACTCACGTAAAGCTCTTATAAAGTGGTGATAGAATCGAGTTAGCTTTGAGAACATGTCATTCTCACCATTTAAGGCCATCAAAATTCAATAAACCTGCGTGTTTCACTATAAAGGGGCGAGATTTTTCCAATTGGATGCCCGCAATTGAGCCTAACAATGCATAGCTCAGCGGGTTGAAGCACTGCTTTCATATTAATCACGTCCAGCTTTTTTTTGGGGGGAATCTCTGATCCGTGAGCGCCTCAGCAATCCGCCAAAATGAGACCGCTCATGCGATACTGATGATCGCTGAAGCCAGATCTACGCCACAGTCTTACTCTTCAAATTGGTAGAAATGATTGAGGGAAGTAAAACAAGAACGAGAATCCACTGGAGAAGGAAAATACGAAAAAATAAAAAGGAAATGCCATCCAGGAAAAGGACAGTGTCCAACTTTCTATCATTTCCCTTCATCCAATCCTCCTTGCTACAGACCAGTGAGCTGATTATCATAAGCAAACACCAACAAACAATTCAAACACGAAAGTTCATAAGTTACCCTGAATGACCTCGCATTCTTCAAGACACCGCATCAACAGTAGGCACAATCGCCGATATTCCGGTTAATAATAGCAGCTCTCAGGCGACGCAAGTAATGTCCTTTGTTGCTCCTCAGACGCCCGCCACATTCCATTCATGGAAAAGATCAATCGATAGCGGGAATCGTCGCTCAAGTTTGTTTGCTGAAGCACACGAACCCCAAATACGATGACACGCAAGCCGTTTGTCAATAAACAGATCACAGGACTGAAGTCTCCTACAACAAGCAGAAGCTACTTCCCGAACAAAGGTGAACTACGAAACGGAGAGAGCGTGAAGCAATTTCTGCCGCATAGCGCAAGGCACACTCATCCTCATTAGGGCACTGGGAGATAGTTCCCTAAGGACATCGACTTAGGACTGGGACTCGAAATGAGCAACATTGACTTAATAGAGACGACGAAAGAAGATGGGAGCCGCCCTTCCGAACCCTTTCTCATTGCAACGCAATAAGATAATCTATTTACGACAACCTGGGTGGGAGATCCGGTTTATGTGAAGTGGATCAACTGGTAGCGCAACGTAACAATTCGTCTCACTATAGGTCTCTTATTGCGCAACGCATTATAAGTGAGCTTGGGGACACTTATTAGCTGGACCCATCGGCTAATTTAAGGCAATATGAGACCTTCTATTGGTTATGTTACGTTGAAACAATTAGATACACAACCATCAACAATATGGGAATGGTTCAAAAGAATGAGGACAAAGAAGAAAAGACGGGAAGGAACGTGAAGCGAAGAGAGGCCACTGGGAGGGAGTTGTACATGTTAACTCTCTTACTAGTGATAGGGAAAGCTGTCAGCATTACGCACGAGGGATGAGGGATGCTTTTGAAAGACACCACAACTCACGACTGCACTCGACACTCGACAGATGTGAGTTACAGCTCGCCGCAATGTCCAATGTTCTCGAACCACCCGACCATAGCGGACCGCACTTTGACTAGGCTTACGGTTTGTGGTTCACTATGACTGGGAAGATATAGTTGCCTAGACTGGAACCAGTTTATCCACTAGAAACACTTCACAGATGAGCCTGTCCGAATGTTATGAAGAAACAAGCTAATTAGATTACGGATTGTTAGCTGTATAAGCGATAACGAGGGAAATGGCGTACTGGGAACGGAAAACTCGTGTTATGCCTACCATCGCTAATCTTTTTAACTTCACGTACGGAATTTCTAGAACACATAATTTCAGCTGATACTCTTAAGTACCTTTATCGCCTTAGGCATGATGCATAGTCACCATTTCAGATAGTAAACACTTGAATCAATCAGAAAAAGCCCCACATTAGTCGAAAATACTCGAACGATAAACAATGAAGCAGAAGCATAGCAAAACGATAGCCAACCTTTTCTCTCTCCTTCTGGTCAAGAAAAAATTGATGTTGAGAGATGGCTGTTGTCCAAATAGTCCTGCACAATGCACCTGATTCACACACAAATGTGTGCACACAAATTCCAGCAGGAATCGATTGGCACCGTCGAGATATAGACACTCTAAAAACACAAGTACAGGACTGGTACATACACAATAGCAAACAGTTCGCTGCAAAAGACAAGAAAACAAGAAAAAGCTCGGGAATTCTTTGATCCTGAATCGCGAGCTAACGAGGGGCTGTTGAACGGCAAAGAGGAAAAATAACATGAGGATAACGAAAAAGGTAGAGATAGAATAATATTAGTAATTGTACGATTATTCAAGTGTTATACCGCCGTCGTCTACTGAATGATTCACCGGGAGAATATCGCACGAGTGATTCATTTGCGGTGGAGGCGGACCGTTGCCGATGAAACAAAGATGGGCTCCGTGACTACCAGACACCGGCGCTCAACCAGCAAGACTGGTTGCCCTAGCGGAATTTCAATCCATCAATTGCTATGATTAAAAGTCTATACTTTGCTCACAAGGTTAGATAGTTTTTAGACCTTTATTGATAGCCTTTCAGCTTCCAAATACCTAATTCTATGCCAATTTTAGTCGCCATTTGTGAAGAACTAAACCCAGGGTAGCTTTAACAACGAGGATAATTATGATGGCACATGCCCAAACTGAACGACAAATTAGCGAAAAGGGCCACACACGAGGAACCATCAGAGGCGCAGACACAAGGGTATTTTAACAACATTTGCTGAAGAGACAAAGCTGACTATTCGGCTCATTCCTCGAAATCATTTCAATTAAAACTGATTGACTATATATAACCCATTCCAACTGAGGAAAGGATATCGTCAGAAGTGAACGATTTACGTACACTCTCAGTAGTTTAACACCGCTTAGCGAAAGAATTCCCAACGAGATTGCAACAAAACAACCTAATAAACAAGAAGATCCGCCAAGGTCGAGGTGCGTAGGCAAGTCGACCAATTCAAACGTTAACTGATTCGCTATTTGCATAAAACGTTCCCTCTCCGCTGATGATTCGGGCTAGGTTAGCGTTCATGGATATTTATGAGGTTGGTTTGAAACATACCACAACAGTGAAAGACAAGAGCAATTAATAAGTCAATGACGATGGAAAGCTAATGAAAATCGAGTCATGGAGAACTTTGCACAGCACTTTTGCTGAGGACTATGTGATGACGACAATACATTACTTTTTACTGGAGCATTACGGCAGCTTCTCTTCTCCACCTTGGCTTCCCCAGTGTGTATTACGTCTATCTCAATGTACATAGATTTGACGTCAAGTGAGCATAAGTCGCAATAACGTTTTACAAATGCTCTCTTAAAAGATCTTCCCTGCAAATGTCTGCCTGCCTATTCTGCTTCAACATCTCACCACTCAATGACCTTACTGACGATTCCCTAGTTCTTTCGTATTTCTTTCTGATCCGTCCAGGATGATTTTCAGATTTTTAGGAATCGGGTGGAAACACTTTTTGAAGATCTAAGCATATATGGCCCCATATTCAACAACCGTAACATGGAAAAAGTCGGTCAGAGTATTCAACCTCGTCGGAAGGTGAAAATCAACGTCATAGTGTCCGGAATCGTCCAACTCGTTCACCATTATCCAGTACCCAACAATCATTTCTAAGTAGGGAGTTCAGGGCCACCCAAAATCTAACTCTCGACAATTAATGTCTTTTCGGGATGTGCATTTGATAGGACGTGACGATCCCACCTAACCGGAATACGTCGAAGTACGAAGACAGTGCCGAAACCTACTGCATTTTATTATCTCCATCAAAAACTCATTTTATGTTGCTGCCGCAAGAAATACGCAGTAATCTAATGAAAACAATAAAATAGCAACCACGCAGAAGAGGTGTAATAGAGATCCGGTGTCAAAAGAAAAAGTATCAAGCAAAAGCCTGTAGAAACTGCTTATCTTATGACTTTTGGCTACCATGGAGCTCGTAATGAGGATATTTTTTTACATTTCGAAGCACAAACACAACCTCACAGAAAAGAAAAATGAAAAAGATAAGCCAATTCAAAAAACATCTTATGAACACGTGATCATTAACATGAACTTAATGAATACTTACTGTGTAGTAGGATCGCTAACAGCCAAAGCTAATTCGTCATCATCAGCCAATGATGCTCCTAACACATTGAAGTCGGTTATTTGTTTCGACCTTCAAAGAAAAAAAAACTATCTATCCTCGATTTATTCATAATTCAAAAAAAAAGGATGAATAAAATGAATTACCTTGGATCGCGAACTTCCACAGAAAATATATTTTCTTTATAATACAGATTGTCCAAATAACACCAATGAAAGTTCTGAAAGTTTTCGTCAAAAATTATGTCATCAATAGTAATCTCAAGATATATGATTGAAGAAAACTACAACGACAATTCCTAGTTTCCTCTTACAATCAGTTTAAGAAGGAGTAAGTGGGAGAAGGGGGAGGGGTGAATGGATTAGCAAAAAGTACGGATGGGCAGGTTGGAGCTTGCATAGTACCAAGGGAGAGAACACCTTCAAACGACCCGTGAAACATTATAAGCTTACTGATAGCCAACAAATGTTGAACTTTGAACTTATGCAAGCGTCATGGGGTTCGCATACATTGAATTCGTTCGGCCCAACAACAACAAAACTTGCGGTTCGAGCGTCACTACGAGCCCGAAAGTGATTAGGATTGACTCGTTCCTCATATACTCACGGAATGAGAGTCGGCCGAATGGCGGAATGGCAAATCTTATTTTATTTTGGGGTAACTTTGGCACGCATGCACAAATTACCTATATCACAGCCTCTTCATAGCAAATAAGTCTAATCAGGAAAAAAACAACAATAATAACGAATTCCCCTTTACAACAAGTCTAGCAAAATACAACCACCAATATGAGTGTTCACTCATTAGCACACTATTGTTAGTGCGTGGTAAGCAAATAGGTGATATGCTGACAGACGCGGCTGGTAGACACCAACAGGCATGATGGTAAATAGGCACGAGAACACATTACATAGGTGACGTTATCCAAATAGATCGATCTCCAGTCAGGATACCAATGGAAAACAATAGTTAGAAGCAAATAAATGGTGCGTACCTCCTTAGGCCGAAAGGTATCTTCGTTTTCGAAGACTTGTATGCCTCTATTATTAATAGAAAGGATGCAGGCGGAACCATCACGTTCTTTGACTCTATACAGTCGACTGCCGTACTTCAAGCATTTCTCCACAATTTGCATTACCCTGAAATTTCAGTTCGACCATTGGGAAAAGCTTTATCAAAAGTTTAGCTTGAGTATTGAGACTATATTTAAAAAATGTCCCAAACTAGCTAATTTTTTGATTCTCAAAGCAACCCGCAGAATAAAATCTGGCGTAAAGCCTCAATGAAGGGCAAAAAATGAACAAAAAAGCAAAAAAACTTACGAAACTATAGCAGACCCGCGTTGCAAACCACGTAATTTACCATACTCTGCTAGTACTTGTTTCTCAAACGAACTTTGACTGACACCATATTGCCTCGTTAATCGTGGCGGAAAAGGGAGTAAAGATCGTAGATGGTTTATCAGGGAATTATCACTGCAAAATAAAATCATTCATCGGCTGTCAGTCATCATGTCAAATAAAAATAACCGCAAGCGTTGAAAAATGATAGCAATTCTAAGAAATACGAGAAAAACTTACTCAATTATATCTCCACGGTAAATTTGAAGTAATAATCCACCAACGCGAGCGTAATCATTGTTAGATAAATCTAGCTGACCCTGAAAGATATGAAAAACTCGCCAAAAAAGTTTCAACGGAGAGCTAGTAATTCATTACCTTTCGCAGTTGCTGATGGGCTTCGAGAAAAAACATCTCAATAGTGGAAGGGTTTTCGAGACACAAAATGGAGTCGACGAAAAACCTGGAACGAAAATAATGTCTCTCAATAAAAAGTGAATTCTTACAACAGGGTACTTTGAGATTAGTGACATAACTGAATAATTCAGCACAACTCTGTTTAGCTATCAACAGTGTCTCAAAGGCGGCTGCCCCTATTTGCCAGTTCCTTGAGCATTGAGAGGTATCAGGCTCTTAGAATTGTGGCGTGATCTATTAGAATTCAAGGGAGTGTGCCACTGAACACTTCATAAGGAACAGGGTGAGCCACTGGTCATTATTCATCGAAGTTATTGTTGGTAGTGCACTCTCAATATTTAATGCCGTAGTAGCACTAGTGCGCCGTATAACATAACCAATAATGTTTAATAAACCAATGAATAAATTAAAAAGTAAATAAGAAAAAAATCAAAAAGTAAATCAATAAATTGAAGTCTTGGCGAAACGACATATCGTGAAGCCCGGATGTGACAAAGCGACGCCGGACGATAGGTAATTTAATTTTTTCCCTATTAGGAAATATGTTTAGAAAACAATTTTTCAAAACTGAAAACAACAAATGCAATCAAACAGTCCGCAATCTTTGCTAAAAACTCCTGTGAAACATTTTCTCACTCACCGGACATTGTGTGTGAGTTGTATCACAGCTTTGTCACTAGGGAATTCATAATCGAGCAGATTTTTCCCCGGTTGCAGCCAGTGATAGTGATCACTGAAAATGTGAAGAATATTGATGACTTGGATACAAAATGTAGTGTACTGGCAGTTGTACAAATGAAGCTGTCCTACTGCAGTAGCAAAGTATGATGGACAAAATAAAATGAAATATACCCTTCTTTAGCCATTTTTATACGCAACTGCCAAAAAAATTGTTGAGGATCATAATTGTCTTTTTCCCCCGAAGAGACTGCTTCAATTATCT